TACCTGCCTATAAACTGTATTGCAAATCGCCACATCCACCCACTCATTTTTTGAACACTTCCAGGCCTGGTGACTCCACCACTTCCCTGGAGAGGCTGTTCCAATGCTTAACTGCTCCTTCAGTGAGGGATTTTTTCCTGAAATCCAGTCTGAACCTCCCCTGGCACAACTTGAGGCCATTTCCACTCGCTCCTTTCGATGGGGAAGTTCTGTGTCTCTTTTGGTGTTTGTTGGGACACTTTTACCCCACTGCCGTGTCTCAGTCCTGATGCTGCCTGAACAAAAGGTCTTATTCCCTCTACTCCAGAAGAATCTTTGCTCCACATGCCTTTTTTTCAGCCCTAAACAGAGCTAAAGCTTCCCAGTCCTCATTTTCCAGCTGATCCCAAGGTGGCTGTGCTTGTGGCGTTGCAACGAAACAGGAATGGTGCCCAGGTCTCTGTGGGGAATCAGCACCTCTTCAACCTCGGGTTCTCAGTGGGGTCAGCCTGATTTACAGGTCCAGCTCTTCTACATGTCCCATCTGTGCTGTTTTTGCTGTAGGAAGGGTTCAGGAATTGGATGGAACCACCTGGTGATGCTGCTCTTCAGCAGCTCTTCCCGTGCAGGTGGCTGGTAGTAAAGCTGTTGTAGCTGTGTCAGGGGGGAGCTTTTGCCTGAACCAGTCACTTGGAGTTAATCAGGAGCTGAATCTCTTTAAACATTCATTTTAAGCTGCATTTTATCAGAGGCAGCTGCTCCTCTGGAAGCTCTGGGACCGCAGGGTTGGGACTGGCTGTCAGAGCTGCTGAAGGGGTTGTGGCACAGCAGCTCTTGGGCTCTTAATTTTTAAACAGAAGTGACTGGATGGTTTCCTGTCTCGGTGGCTTCTGGGGGATCACACAACATCCAGCAACATCCTTCCAGACAGGCTCACAGAGAGCAACCCTTTCAGTGGAAAACCCAAATCCTTTGTTATCTGACACGTCACCCTGCAAAGGAGGGCCCTGCACTGGGTGCTTCCTGCTGGCAGCTGAGACCCTCCCTCCTGCCCTTTATCTGGTTTCCTTTTGGTGGAGGCAGCTTCTCCCTGGTGTTGAGCACAGCGGATGCAGGGCCAGAGCTTTCCTCAGGAGGTGATCTAAGCCCAGCAATTCCTGTTGCTTTGCCAGCACACACAGCTTGCTCTCCAAGCCGGTCCCAGTTTGCCTCTGGCCAGCACTAGTGGACAGGTTCCTCCTCTCCTCCACTGACCTGTGCAGTGGTGGTTGCTCTTCCCTGGCTCTGCAGAGCCTGGCTCCTTCCCTGGACCGTGGGCATGAAGGGGAGGGAGCTGCCTTGGTGATGCTGAACCTGTCCCACGGTCCCTGGCTGGGTTGGGAGGGGGTTTCAGGGGTCGCTCGTGGGAGTGCTCTGAGCCATTCCCAGTCAGGACTATCCTGTGCCTCTGATCCCTTCTCCTGCTGTCCCATGAGCGAGGCAGGAGGATCCTGTGGGATTTCACACCCTTGTAGAGGACCAGGGGATCTGCTCCAGGTCACAGGAAGAGCTTGTTGCTGAAACTGCTGCTTAAGGGGGCAGGTTTTGAATGAGTAATTGTGGGGGGGGGAAACGCAGGAATCCAAACATAATTTTGGAAGGAAAGGTGGAATTGTCACCTGGGCCTGTTTGTTCCGTGCAGAGCGTTCCTGTACCTTTGTCCCAGTGCTGGTGTCCCAGGAGCTGTGCCTGGCTCCGTGCTGGGTGGGTTCCTCTGGGACAGACACGGTGCCTCTGTCCCGTGCAGGCCATCCCGTGCCCCTGGTCACCTTTGCCTTCTTCCCCTTTACCTTTTTCCTGTTGCTGTTGTTTCCTGGAGGACGGGGCCGCCAGCCCTGCACGTGACAGGGAAGATCTGGGTGTGCTGCCAGCTCAGGAGTGTCGGAGCAGCCCTTTCCACACCAGGCCAGCCCGGATCCCACACGGGCCCCACGTCACTGTGCTGGTGAACACCCCTGCCAGGAAACCTGGTTGGCCTTCACCTCTGTTTGCTGCCTTCTCTGTTGGTTCCCCAGTGGAGCGCTTGCCTCTGGCATTTCAATCCACGGCAGCAAGGGACGGCACTGAAAGCATTTTGGGAACGTGTGTGAGCAGGACAGCCTTGCTCTGGAACCTGGGGGTTCCCTCCAGGCTCTCCTTGGAGGCGTGAGGGTCTGCAGGGCACAGCTGGCACTGGGCAGGGGCCACTGGCATTGGGTGTGCTCTCAGATCCGAGGGGGAGCGTTAATTCCTTCTCTCCTTTGCGTTGGCATCTGCTGCAAGGAGCCCATCCTGCAGCTGATCCTCACGGGAGGAGCTCCAGGACTCCCCCATGGATGAGTCCTGCCTTGGTGTCCTCACCCACTTTCCCTTGGTGTTTTTGATGACCTCAGTGCCCTGGGGGGGTTGCAGAATTTGTTCACTTCTCTGTCCCCGTTCGGGGGCAGCTCCCATTTCTGCAGGAAATCTCCCTTTTGATGGATTCCTCTGCTCCCTTGGCTTGGCTGCTCCATCTCTGTGCAGGGGCCTCTTGGAGGCTGGTTTTTCATTTCTGCCATGCATTTACTCCGAGTTTCCAATGTGATCTTATGAAATACACTCCCTGCTGCCTGCAGCACGTTACCTTTTCAGCTGCTGCTTTTTAATTTCCTTTCAGCCCTTTCTCGCTCGTGTGCTCGTCAACGAAGAATTTGGGGCTTTTTTTTTTGGCTCTTGAGGGATTGCTGAATGTGAGTTCTTTATTGTTATTATTGCAGCTGAATAGGTTGAATATTGAATAGATCTTGTCTGTCATCCTGTGCGTTGCTGAGGGTTGAATCCGAAGCTCTGAGCTCTTTCTTCCTTCAAGGAGGACTCATCCGTGCTGCCGAGGAGCTGCACTGTTTCCTTTCAGGAGTTGTTCCTGAGGCTCTGATTATTGTGATCAGAGCTTATAATTGTGTGGAAGAAACGATCCCTTGTAAGTGCAAACTGCAAACCAGAGCGAGCGACTTGTTCTGAGAGCTGCTCCCACCCAGCCCTTCTCCGAGCCCCAGAGTGCCTCCTTTAGCTCCTCACAGGAGATCCTTCGGGATCCCTCACAGGTCATGGGATGATTGGAGTTGGATGGACCTTAAAAATCATCTCATTCCACCCTCTGCCCTGGGCAGGGACACCTTCCACTGGCCCAGGTTGCTCCATCCTGGCCTTGGACACTTCCAGGGATCCAGGGGCAGCCACAGATGCTCTGGGCAACCTGAGCCAGGGCCTGCCCACCCTCCCAGGGAACTATTTCTTCCTAATATCCAATCTAAACTCTCAGTCTGAAGCCATTCCCTGTGTCCTGTCCCTCCAGAGCCTTTGTAAACAGTCTCTCCCCATCTTTCCTGTAGCTCCTTCAGGCACTGGAAGGCCACAATTAGGTCATTCCAAAGCTTCCCTTCTCCAGGCTGAACAATCCAGCTCTGCCAGCTCTGCAGTACAAAGCTGGGTCTAAAATTCGGTGGGCTTTAGGCCTGGACCTTCCTTCAGCCAGCGCTTGTGCCTCTGCCTGTCCCTGCCAGGGCAGCTTTTCCCCACCAGCTCCATATTTTCATACTCCACAACATGATGTGACAGTGAGGAAGAGTCCTAGAGGCTAAACAAGCGAGTAGGAAGGTACAGACACTGCTTATTTTTTATTTATGGGTCCCTGAAAGCGTGATGCATACACTGCTTCTCTTGGAGGACTGAAGGAGGGCAGAGCTGGTGTTTCCTCAGAGGTTTTTAACTCCTGATTTCTCACACTGGCCGCCTCTCCCTTGGATCCTGCAGCAGGACAGGCCACAGCTGGTGAGAATTCCAGCCCTCCGACACGGTCAGCGATGGAGCAGATAACACTGACCTCTGCTTGCAGGGCAAGCGCTGCCAAGTGTAAATTATCCAGGCTGGAGGAAAATGAGCTGTAACATCAGCTCCGTGGCTTTGTGCCACGGGCAAGGTGTGTGGATCCGTGTGCCTCCAGCGCCCCACGGAGATGGGAACTGCGGGAATAACAAGTGTGGAGACAGAAGCATCCCATCACCCGTGTGATGAGCACAGCAGGGCTCAGTCCAGGCATTCCCCAGCTGCTGGAGGAGCAGGGCAGGGCAGGGGGTCATGGCTGGGCTTTGCCTTGCAGAAATCAGGAGCGTTAAACGGGGCTGACAGGCTCTGAAATGAGCCCCTCAGCCAAGGCTAAAGTGTCTTCCCAAGCGTGGAGGAGAAGTGAACCAGGAGCAAAACAAAGTGACGGGAACAAGGAAAGGCTGAGGGGCAAAATGCAAACCCAGGGACTGGCAGGGGACACGGTGGCTGCTGGCAGGGAGAGGCTGTTGCTGGCTCCACATCCTCTTGCCCTCTTGCTCTTCACCCTCAAGAGCAGACGCTCCCAACAGCAGCATCTACCACCACAGAGGGGACACGGACACCAGCCTGGCCCTGCAGCCAGCTGGGAGAGCAGCAGGAGGAAACACAGCCTGAGGGTGATGGGATACGAATGTTTGATGACTTCTGGGTCCTGAGGAGGGGGGGGAAGTGGCTTATGGTGCCGGGAAAACCCGCTGTGGCCATGGGGCGAGGTGGGAAGTGTGACTTTCCATGAGCGAAGCAGAGGGTCCTTCCCTCTTCCTCCCACTGGGAGACCTTCCTGGTGCCTCCAGGTCCTGGCAGGGTCACAGTGCTCCGTCCTCCCTCTGTTTGCACGCCTCTGGAACGGCGGGGAAATTTTTAGGTGAACTGGTGGAGATTTTTATGTGAACTTTTGCTGCTATTTCTTATTAGGCCTTAAAAAAATTCCTGGACGCTCCTCACGTTTCGTTGGTTTGACTCCTCCTGAACCCCACAAAGCGCATTAAGGGGGTTCTACCAAGTCTCAACCTTCTCTAACTCCGTTTTCCCCCTTCCCACAATCCCCTGGCATGGAAAGCACCGCGGCATTCCCGTGGGATCCTTCCCCCTGTCCCTGCGTGCGGGACCCCGCGCTGACCCCCTCGTGTCTCCCCCAGAAGTGTCTCCGGCTGAACCCCGACGTTCCCGTGTGGGTGTCCAAGCAGCGCATCCTGTGCACGCTGAACCACAGCCTGAAGGATGTGCTCAACTACGGCCTCTTCCAGCCGGCCTTCAACGGCAGGGCCGGCAAGTTCCTGGACGAGGAGCGGCTGCTGCGGGAGTACCCCCTGAACCCCGACACGCCCGTGCCCTACCTGGAGGTAACCCCTGCTTCCTTCCCCTTCTGTTATACGCTCTCTTATTTTGTTTATTTATTTTCTCTTGTTTTGTTTTATGTGTTTTTCCTTATTGTATTTTTTGCTTATTTGGTTTGGTTTGTTTGTTTGTTTTTCTTGTTATTTTTGCTTATTTTTCCTTTTTCTCCCCCCTTTTTTTTCTTCCCCCCTTTTTTTTCTTCCCCCTTTTTTTCTTCTTCCCCTTTTTTTTTCTTCCCCTTTTTTTCTTCCTTCCCTTTTTTTTCTTCCCCTTTTTTTTTCTTCCCCCTTTTTTTTTCTTCCCCCCTTTTTTTTCTTCCCCCCTTTTTTTTCTTCCCCCCTTTTTTTTCTTCCCCCCTTTTTTTTTCTCCCCCCCTTTTTTTTCTTCCCCCCTTTTTTTTCTTCCCCCCTTTTTTTTCTTCCCCCTTTTTTTCTTCTCCCCTTTTTTTTTCTTCCCCTTTTTTTTTTCTTCCCTTTTTTTCTCTCCCCTCTTTTTTTCCTCTCTTCTTTTTCTCCCCCCTTTTTTTTTCTCCCCCCCCTTTTTTATTCTCCCCCTTTTTTTCCTCACCCTTTTTTCCTCCACCCTTTTTTTTTTCCCTACCCTTTTTTCCCCCTTTTTTTCCTCCACCCTTTTTTTCCCTACCTCTTTTTTTTTCCTCACCCTTTTTTTTCTCCCTACCCCTTTTTTTCCCCACCCCTTTTTTCCCCACCCCTTTTTCCTCACCCCTTTTTTCCACCCCTTTTTCTCCACCCTTTTTTTCCACCCTTTTTCCACCCCTTTTTCCACCCCCTTTTTTTCCACCCCCTTTTTTCCACCCCCCTTTTTCCACCCCTTTTTCCACCCTTTTTCCACCCCCTTTTTCCACCCCCTTTCCACCCCCCTTTTCCACCCCTTTTTCCCCCTTTTTCCTCTTTCCCCCTTTTTCCCCCTTTTCCTTTTTCCTTTTTTTTCCCCCTTTTTTATTTTTTTTAATTTCCCCCCTTTTCTTTTTTTTTCATTTTTTTTCATTATGTTTCATTTTTTTCAATGTGTGTATACCTATATACACATCCATAGCTATAAACACACATATATATGACAAGACTTCCCTGATGCCTCCACCACAGTCCCTGTAGGCACCAAAAACATTAATACCCCCTGTCCCCCCCTTCCTGGTTTCCTTCCCATCTCCCTTCCAGGAGTGAAAGCAGAGATATTTGTGTGGGTGTGTGTTTACTCCTGGAGAATTCACTGAGGGAAAGGGGAGGCAAAAGCCTCGGATTTTTGGTTGCTGGAGAGCTCTGTAACATCTGCCAGAGCCCCGTGGAGCAGCTTCCCTGCTTTTCACTCTGTTGATCAAAATTCCTATTTTTTTTTTTTCCTAAGTGAGGCTCAGCAGTCCTGCGAAGTGTCAACAGCAGGAGGAGAGCTGGTTTTGTAGGAGTAGAGGGAGAATCCCAGGGAGATCTTGGGATATGAGGCTGAAGGGCTCTGGGTTGGTGTTTTATTCCAGTTTCTGGAGAGACTGGAACACAACCAGTGCTTTGGCAGCAAATCCCTGCATGGGCCTCACCTGTGTGATGGCCATGGAGCATCCTCAGCCCTGCCTTGTGTCCCTGAAGGAGCAGAAATTCTCTGAGATAAGGTGTTCCCACTCCCTGGAGGCTTTTCCTGGGATTCAGGTGTTTGTTCCCAGGTGACCTCAGCATTTCTTGGGCTCACAGTGAACGGGCTGTGATGGGACTCGGGTTACCCTGCACGTGGACTGCTAAATTTAGGGTTTCTGTGCTATATTTTGCCCCTAAAAGTCTCTTTAGGAAGCATTACAGGCTTAAGCTGCACAGGCTCTTACAAAATGCACGAGTGAACGCTGTTATTGCACCTAATCCTGCCCGATTTGGAAAGGAAAGCGCAGCGCAATTTCTTGGCAAACTCGATTTAACGCAGACAAAAACATTTGGAAAGGCGTTAGGAAAGCTTGCAAATAAACCTGGGAGGTGGTAAATTCCTTAATGTTCCTCGCAGGGTGGGGTTCTTTTGGTATAATTTAGCATAATGTCCACGCTTAATGTCTTCACACACACATCCAAATGCAGGCTTGACATGGATATTTGTTGTGTGTCATTTTGATTCTTCGTGACTCGATGGGATTGGCAGGGGAGAGCTGGGGAATCCTCCTGGAAAACTGAACATCCAGAATAATCTGTTTACAGGACACAAATCCCCTGCTTGACAACCGGGTTTTGCCAAGAGAAGTTGTGGATTCCCTGCCCCTGGGAGCGTTCGAGGCCAGGTTGGACGAAATTTGGAGCAGTCTGGTTTAGTGGAAGGTGTTGGAATGAGATGATCCTTAATAATAATAATAATAATAATAATCCCTTCCAACCCCAAACCATTCTGGGATTTTATGGTTTTTAGGTTTCTTGGACGCAAAAGCTGAAAGAGCCCTCGGGGTTGAGCATGAAGGTGACTCTCCTCAGGTGGGAACTTTGCAAAGGGCCAGCACCTGTAAATGTGAGGAAAACACAACTTTTGCCTCGGAAGGATGAAAAAAATCTCAATTTTTCTGTGAGAAAACATGTGCCCAGTGGAACAGGCTTGTGATAGACTGAAATGTGCTAATATTTTGCCAGCACTGGAAAGTAAGTGGGATGAGCTTAGTAACTGCAGTCCAAAGATAACTTGGTGTCAGTTCCAGCTGAAATAATGGAATGTTGATGGAGGATTAAGTTCGCAGCAATTCAAAAATCTCTGAATGCAATTTGTGCATTGAAAGGAGATCTAGTCAAACAAATCCAATTGCACTCCCTAAGGAAATTGTAATTCTGCTTGATAGAGATAACAACACAAAGGTAGCAGCCACTTGGGGGTACTTGATGCTGTTCTACATGATCCTCAGGTTCAGGATTAGCACATGAAACTCCTGCAGGATGAGTGTCACTGGCTGAGGAATCAGTGACAAAAGGCAGCTGCTGTCACTGTGATCGGGGGGGTTCCTTAGGGAATGGTGCCAGGCTGGATTTTGGTCCCCCAGGGATGTGGGGGTGAGGGAAAAATCGCTGCTGATTAAATCAGATTGCAGCAAATCACATCCAAGGGTGCTCTGAGCCAAATACAAACATTCCTCTTGGAGAGCCCACCTGGAATACTGGGGACCCCCAACATAAGAAGGACCTGGAGCTGCTGGAGTGAATCCAGAGGAGGCCCCAGAGCTGCTCCCAGGGCTGGATCCCTCTGCTCTGGAGCCAGGCTGGGACAGCTGGGGGGGATCACCTGGAGAAGGGAAGGCTCCAGGGAGACCTGAGAGCCCCTTGCAGGGCCTAAAGGGGCTCCAGGAGAGCTGGAGAGGGACTGGGGACAAGGGATGGAGGGACAGGACACAGGGAATGGCTTCCCAGTGCCAGAGGGCAGGGACAGATGGGAGATTGGGAAGGAATTGCTGGCTGGGAGGGTGGGGAGGCCCTGGCCCAGGTTGGGCAGAGAAGCTGTGGCTGCCCCTGGATCCCTGCAAGCTGGTCCAAGGGCCAGTGGGAGGTGTCCCTGCCCATGGCAGGGGTGGCACTGGATGGGCTTTAAGGTCCCTTCCCACCCAAACCATTCCATGATTCTATGAATATCCAGGGACAAGGATGGCTCACACAGGGAGGACTCTCACTGTGGAAAACAACATTTCTGAAGAAAATGTTTGATTCTTTTCTCAAGAAGCCCATCAGCAATTCCCAGTGAGATGCTGTGGCCCAGCTGACCCTCTAATCCTTCAGAGAGTAGTGAGGGGGTTTCAGGAAGGTTTGGGTGGAAGTGTTTGGTACTGGAGCACTGTGTGGGTGGTCAGTGCACTTGAAAGGATGCTGGGAAGCGGCACAGCATGGAAAAGAGCAGCGCAAATGTCCTGAGAATGGAAGAGGAGATCCCTCAGTGAGATTCAGAGCTCAGCCTGTATCCAGGGAAGTCAGCTCCAGGCCACGGTGTAAGAACCACCCCATGAACACCATCCTGCTGTTAGAGAGATCCCTAATTAGCTGGGAAGGAGCAGAACAAAGCCCACACCGTCTGGAAGCCGAAGCCAGACATATTCATCTGAAAAAACCCAGTCAGAACGTTTTTAATGAGGAAGGCAATTAACCATCAGAGCTAATGATGATGGAGAACAGCGCATTCCGCTCGTGTTGTTGTTTCCAGGCCCAGCCTGAGCGTGTTCCTCCAAGCTGGAGCCGCTCTGGAGCAGTTGGAGGCTGAGTGGGTTCTGTTCAGCTCTCACGCCTGTCCTTGTTCCTCTCCCGCAGTTCCGCTACAAGCGCCGCGTGTACACCCAGGCCCTGCTGGATGACAAGCAGTTTGCCAAGCTCCACACCAAGGTAAGGCTGCTCCCTCAGCACAGAGAGGGGCTTTGGGGGTGGTTTCAGCCTCCCCCTGCCTGTCAGGTTGCAAAGAAACCACGGGAAAGGGGTGGGGTGTGACGACCCCTGGGTGGTTTGGGTGGGGATGCACACAAAGGGTGGGAGCACACACAGGGATAAACCTGGCTGGGTTGTGTCCCAGCAGGCAGGAGCGTGGTTGGATGGGGTGGGACAGCGTGGGGACGGCGTCCACGGGGTGCTGAGGCGGAGGAACCCGTGATGGGCCTCCTGAAGAGCGGCTTTATTCGCCGGCACGGAGGAGTTGCTGTGCCCGCAGAGCACAAAGGGGCACATTGAGGAGCTTGGCATCCCTCCCCCGGCCTCTGCCTGGAGCTGCTTTGTCTCCAGCCTTAACCCCAGGGTTTGGGTGGTGGTTTCACTGGTGGGATCCCTGTGGGAAGTGGGAAGTGTTCCTGGTCTCCTGCAGCCCCCTCATGTTGTGGGCAGTGGTTGGAGCGTGTCAGGGTCAGCAGTGAAGGGACCATCGGGATGTTTGGAGCACAGGGACTGCTTGGGTGTCTCCTGGGAGGAGAGAAGGCCCCAAAACCACTGGGCTCTGCAGCCAGAGATGCCCCACCTGGAGGATCAGGGATCTTAAGGGGATCAAACCTGGAGGTTTGGGTGTCCCCTCACATTGCCCCTCCCTTGGACAGCTGTGGTGGTCCCCTGTCCCATGGCTCCACTTCTTCCCTAAGAAATTAAGGACAGGAGTTGTGGGGAGGTCTGGAACCACCAGGAGGTTTTTGCTGCCACTCATAACTGTGCCTTGAGGTGGCATGTGGGGACTTTGGTGGTTCCTGGGAGGCTGAAACCAGCACTGTGTGGGAACTACAAGACAGGAGGGAGGAGATGGGCTCTGGCAGCACCTGGACAGGCTCCTGGGGATGGATTTGTGCTGGGAGTGGGACTATGCAAAGAGGCTTTGGGGGTTCTTGTTTAGGAGGGATGTGGAACTGGCCGGGATCTGTTGCTGTGTATCCCAAGCTCCTTGGAAACCCTCTGTGCAGGGTGATGGCTGTGCCTTCTTCTCCTCGGCTCCCTGGCAGCCCTGTGGCTCCTCCTCAGCCTCCTGGCAGCCCGTGCTGCTGCTGGGCATGGGGCATCTGTCCCTGGCTCCTGCGCCAGTCTGCGAGGTGCTCACATCTGCTCTGCAGGAGACAGGCAGGCAATGTCTAGGGGTGTTCAACTAACAGGTAGAACAGCAAGGGCTGAGCTTGGTGGAGCCACAAACATAGAGCAGAAAGGGAGAAAACCTTCCCCCAGAGGCTGTGGGAAGGAGCAGGTCCCCCGTGGTGGGTTTGCAGAGCCGCAGAAGCACGAAACAAAGCGCTGACGAGGTTCAGGTTTGGCTCACGCAGATTAAAGTCACGAGGCTTCTGTCTGGTGGCATAAGAATATCCAGGCAGCAGATCTGGAAAGCTCTCAGCATCTCCCTGGCGCCAGGAAACGTGAATCATGGTCTTCCTGAGCCTCGCCAGAGGAGCTGGGAGTTCTCCTGCTGGAGGGAGCGCTGGGGGCTCCTGGTGCCAGGAGATCCGGTGGCAGCACCCCAGGATTTCCCTGCGGGTGTTCGGCAGCCCCAGACGCGCTGCATTGAATATCCAATTCATCTCCACTTCAATTCCTACTTGACCCCAAATCTCCTTCACATTGTTTCTTTATTTTCAAACCGTCCCTTGCCGGTCGAATCCCACGCCTGAGATCCCGCATCTCCGCTCCTCCGTCGGGAGCGTTGCCTTTGGATGATGCTGCTTTCCCAGAGCCTGTGGTGTTTTCAGGGGGCAGGAGAGGAGCTCCCAGGGGTGTGGAGGGTGAGGGGGAGGTGGGGGCAGCCTGAGGGGCAGTGCCAGGAGGGCTGAGGGTGGGAGAGGTGCTCGATCCGGCCGCTCGTTGGAGCGATGCCGGAGCGCCAGCGGCGTCGGGACTCACCCGGCACGGATCGACGCTGTTCCCTGGGAGAGGGCGAGAGAGGAGCCTGCGTGTGCAGCCTCCCAGCAGCTCGATCCGGGGTGAGAGGGGCACGCAGAGCGCAGGGACATGGGCTCCTCCCTGGGACGGTGGCTGGCGGAGCGCAGGGACGCGCGGGGACGAGCCAGGAGCACGGTACTGCCTCTGCCCCGACGGCTGGGCCAGGCACCGCCGGGTGAGGGGACACGGGGGGACACGGGGGACAATCCTGCCCTGCCACTCGCCCCACCCAGGGCTGCTGGGGCAGGCAGGGCCTGCTGGGGGGGTTATTCCCTGTGGGGTGTGGAGATGCTCTGGGCCGATCCAGGGATCTGCACCGCAGGGGTGGGGGGGCTGCTGGGGGGCTCGGCTCGGATGTGCCTTTAGGGCTGGGTGTTTCCATGTGGGAAAGTGGAGGTGATGCCTCTGGGTCATGGTGTGGGGCTTCCCTGTTGTTTGCAGCGGTGTCTAATTGCTTGGGTGGTGAAGTGTTGGATGTTCTGGGATGTGGTGATTTAAAGGGCTGGGCAGGATTGGCGTGAGGTCTGACAGGATGGTGGGATGTCCTGAGGCTGTGGGACATCCGAAATCTTTCACCCTGTGGTTGATGGCCTCAACCCAATCAAAGCAAAGCACGAAAGCTCTCAGAGTTTATCCTGATTTTTAGTGGCAGGAGTCACAACTTGACTCTTTTAATGACCTCAAAACCTGGTCCTTAACTGCTATTGGAATAGTCACAGAATCATTTAGGTTGGAAAAGATCTCTAAGGTCATCGAGTCCAGGCTGTGATTGATCAAACAAGAAATGAATAGCCCCTTTTTTTTGGGTGCCAGTGGTCTTGTTCAAGGAAGTGGGAGAGCTGAGTTCTTGTCTTGCTCACAGCAGTGAAGGGTCTCGACACCCTGAGCGGATCAGCCTCGTTCCTTTGTGCCCCTGGGGATCTGCAGGCTCTGACCTTTCTCCCAGGTTGTTTTTCCCAGTGAATTGCAGGAGCCCACATGGAAGTGGGAGAGCACAAAAACACACGTTACACGAGGGCAATCCCATTGTGCTTGCAAAGGAAAACGCGTGCAGGGAAATCCTGGCACTTGCTGAAGCGTCCACAAAGCGCTGCCAGGAGACTGGGGATGTCACCACCTGGAAAGGGAAAGAAGCATCCCACTTAAAACACACTGGGAGCACAGATGCCATTCCTGCCCTGGGTGCTGTGAGGGGAGAGCCAGAGCATTGGCTGGGGTGATGAAAATCCTCCACTGGAGGAGGAGGCAGCAGGAAGGAGCTGGGAAGAGATGGGAAGGAGGTCAAGGAAGAAGGATTAGGGAATTGCAAGGAACACATCAGACCTCATCAGCTGCTGTATCAGATTTGGTGCAAACAAGGGCTGTTTTGTCTCTCTGTATCAGGAGACCTCTTGCTTATCTCCAGCTTCTCTTCTACCTGGACAAATTAAGGAGTGAAGGGCAGGACAGCAGGATCTCATGGCTGAGAACGTGAGCCCAGCCCATCCAGCCCACCATCCTCCACTGGCACCAGCCCCTGGGTCTCGGGGTGTGTTTGGGGAGAAGCAGAAGGGGAAAACTGAAAAAAAAACGGGTGAGGTGAGATAAAGCAGCTTAACAGGCTGACAGAATTGGACACATAAATAATAATGGCCAGTCTTCGCGAGCGAAGATCCGGGGAAGGTCTTTACACCTTCCAGCCTGCGCATTGGATTTTTTAGGTGAGACACAGTGTGCACGGAACTGAGCCCACCCTTTAATCCTAAGGTTCATCTGCCGGGGCCAAGCGAGCTTGGACGGTGGCAGCGAGGTCCTTAGGACGTAGGTGGGTTGCCTTTAAGGGCTAACGAGCTCCACCTGCCCGGGAGTGGCCCTGACCGGGAATCGAACCCGGGTCTCCGCGGTGATAGCGCGGCGCCTTTACCACTAGACCACCAGGGGCTCCTATTGGACACACACCTGAAGAAAACTCAGGCACTCGGTCCCTGCTTCCCAGGGGCAGGTGCTCAGCCATCCCAGAGTAGCAGGACTTTGTCATGTGTGGTGGTGACTTGGCTTTAAGCTGCTGGAGGGCAGGGTTAGGTGGGATATTAAGAAGGAATTCCTGGCTGGGAGGGTGGGGGGGTCCTGGCTCAGGTTGGCCAGAGAAGCTGTGGCTGCCCCTGCATCCCTGGAAGTGTCCCAGGCCAGGTTGGAGCAACCTGGGCCAGTGGAAGGTGTCCCTGCCCATGGCAGGGGGTGGCTCTGGATGGGTTTTAAGGTCCCTTCCAACCCAACCCATTCCATGATTCTTTAAAGACAGGTGCCATCACTCCAAACATCCTTCCCTTCCTCTTCCTTCCTGTCATTGCTGAGCATGGCATCCTTTGGTCTGGGACACCCCTGGGGCAATTGGGGTCAGCTGTCCTGGCTGTGCCCCACCCTGGCTCTGCACCCCCTCAGCCTGCTCAGGACTGACCCCGCTGTGTCTCCACAAATCCAACACAGATGGAGCAACCTGGCTCTATCCCGGCCAGAGCCGGAGCATCCCTGGCATCCTGCATGGAGAAGGTGTCCCTGCTGTGGAGGCACAGCCAGAGAGGGGGGCAGCTGCAGAGGAGGGGTTAAACACTGTGGTGGCGTGTCGGGAAGTCAATAGTTCGATGTTTCCGTGGCGATCGATGTGTCCATTTGCTGCTGCCCGACAGGGAGGGGGAGCTGCTCCAGCCTCCCCGCCCTGCCACACTCTGCAAAGCCCGGGGTCTGCCTTAATTCCAGCTGCTCTTTGGGGGCAAACTGGGCCTTGAGAAAAAATCAGTCCTGGCTTGATTGCTGGAAACACCCGAGTGAAGGGTCTGTGCCGCCTCCCCTCTCCCGCAGAGCCCGTGCTTGGCTTGCCCATCCTGCCGGGAACAGCGAGCGGCAGAACAATCCCTCTGCGCGAAGAATATCTCATTTGTTTCCTTTCATCTCCATTCAAGAGAGAGGAGCTCGTTCCCTGGCGCCAGTTTTGCTCTCAATGAGCTTTTCTCCTCTGGAGGGTGTTGGTTTTGCGGCGGTGTGGTGCGGGTGGTGGATGATGATGGAGCGTGGCCGGTGGCTGGAGCTGTGCCCCGGCGCTCTCCCGGCATCTCCCTCCTCCTCCTCATGCCTGCCAAAACCAAGGAAAAGCGCCTCAAACTCGCTCAGGAGTCGCTGTGAGGGGCTGTTTTGGGTAAGGATGGGTGGGGTCTGAGCTGAAGCCCCAGAGCCGCTGTTCAGGAGCAGAGGGTGAAGGCAGACCAGGCGCTGGTTCCTGCCTCTCCTGACAAGGCTCCCCTTCCTGCTCCTCCCTGGAGAGCTTTTCTCCCCCAAGGAAGAAGCCCCCAAGGACAGGGATCGCTTCCCAGAGGGTTTGTGAGCTCAGCTCTGCCCCTGTTTCCTCGCAGAGCAGGGGGTGAGACAGACCCCACCTCCTGCAGCCCCCCAGCCCTGCCCCCTGGGAGGGCACCTGCAAAGAAAAAGACCTAAAACAACCCTGAAAAGGCAGAGTGGGGCCTGACTCTGAGCTTTAATCTTATTTACAGGAGGTTTGGGTGGGCTTTTTTGGGTTTTGCTGCCCAGAAAATCTCACTTTGTTCCAGTTGCTGCAGCATTCAGGCACTGATTGGTAAATGACTAAATAAGGGGGTTTCACTCACAGGGAGACCCAGTCAGTGTTTATGGAAGCCTTAAATATATAGAAATATTTTTGATGGCTTTATATAAATATTTTTGTTACTTCATATGAATACATTTGGGGCTTAACTTTTGCGTGTAGGAAATGGGATGCTGTGCCTTTACCAGCTTCTGATTATTTTCCCCTTGTTTTGATTAGCATCAAAGTAGATTTGGATAATTCCAAAATTCAATTAACCCGAAAACAAAATAACATTTTCGATTGTGTCTTTATCGCTTGAATGAATGTTGCTCGAATGTGCTGGGCACAGAGGGCACAAAGTAAATTTATCAGTACATATCTGTTTGTGTTTGAAGCCGCCTGATCTTTTGAACAAAGGGAGATTTGGGTTGTGTGAGCGGCTCTCATCCCAAATTCTCAAAGGTGTTTAAGTGCCAGGAAATCAGGGAGGATCCAGTGAGACTTCAAAATTGCCTGAGAGGTTTAGGCATCTGCTCAGCTCCCCCTGCTTTGGTGGGAGGCTGACATTTGCTCTCTCTCTCTCTTCATGGCTGGTCACCTTAATTCATTTGAAAAACCTGGCCCCAAATCCCTCAAGTTCTTAGAATAATGAAATCTCATTCCTTTCCCACCAGGGTTTTATTCATACACTGGGGAAGGAAAACAAGTGCCCTCACTTTCTCAGATCTCCTTTCAGCTTTGGGTGAATCAGTCCATATAACACGGACAATATTCTGAGTTTTGAGCTAAATTGGAATAGAAAGTGGTTGGATGGAGAAGCTTTTCCATGCAGAGTCAAGTCCCTGCAACTCCCTGACAGAGTCGGGCTCTGCTCCCAGGGAACAGGGACAGGACAAGGGGAAAGGGCCTCAAGCTGTGCCAGGGGAGGCTCAGGTTGGCCCTGAGGAGGAATTTGTTGCTGGAAAGGGTGGTGAGGCCTTGGCAGGGGCTGCCCAGGGAGGTTTGGAGTGCCCAGGCCTGGAGGTGTCCCAGGCAGGCCTGGCCGTGGCACTCAGTGCTCTGGGCTGGGGGACAAGGTGGGGATGGGGCACAGGGTGGCTCCATGGGCTGGGAGGGCTTTTCCAGCCTCTGGGGTTCTTTGATTCTGTGAAAAAACTACATGGAAAAGTGTAAATAACCAGCCTTTGGTTCATGGTGAAAAGTGGCTGTTAAAGTGCCCAGGAAAGGACATGGCTGGGATGTCTTGGCAGTGCTTGGGTTGGTTAAGGAGGCACTTTCGGTGGTGCTTGGAAATGCAAATGTTGCCAGTGCTGGTTGCCTGTGTGGTTTTTTTAAGATGGGAGATTCTTTTAATGCAACTGAAATCTGACATCAGTGAAAACATTAAACTGAGAGAGCTGGGGGGGTTCACCTGGAGAAGAGAAGGCTCCAGGGAGACTTTAGAGCCCCTTGCAGGGCCTAAAGGGGCTCCAGGAGAGCTGGAGAGGGACTGGGGACAAGGCATGGAGGGACAGGACACAGGGAATGGCTTCCCAGTGCCAGAGGGCAGGGACAGATGGGAGATTGGGAAGGAATTGCTGGCTGGGAGGGTGGGCAGGCCCTGGCCCAGGTTGGCCAGAGAAGCTGTGGCTGCCCCTTGATCCCTGGGAGTGTCCAAGGCCGGGCTGGACAGGGCTTGGAGCAACCTGGGCTAGTGGAAGGTGTCCTCTAAACACCTCCATCTGGTTCCAGAAATCAGGAATTGCTGTGCTGTGTCCACCCCTCTCCCGGGAGTGTTAAGTTTGTGAATTGCAGCAGTGTGGGCACGAAGCTGCACATCTGGAGCATGAGCTGCACATCTGGATCGTGCTGGAGGGCAAATGGGCAGCAGCAGAGGGCTAGAGAGAGAATATTTTTCTGCAGAAAAACGAACTGGTTAAGCTTCTGGACTTTACAAATGATTTTGGAAGCGTGACTGTGGATTTGGAACGAGACCTCGGGTAGATGAACCTTCTTTGTTCCGCATCTGGAAACACAGGGTGGGCATTGATTTCCCCCCCGAGGGAATTTCCATGGCAGCCCCATCAATGCCTGTGTGGAGCACGGGGCTCTGTGGGGATCAGCAGCAGGGCAGTGGATTTGACCATGGAGGTCTTTTCCAACCGAAATGATTCTGGGAAGAGGCGTTTTGGGTTGGCATTTCGGGGCTGGAGTTAACACCGTGTGTTGTGTTCACGGAGTTAACGTTGGTACCCTTTCAAATCTAGCTCGTGGCCTGGCTCCGTGGTGCTGATTGCAGAGAAAAGGGGCTAAAATGGCTTAGGTTTGGTTGTGCAGATTAACCCCACCCAAGGCTGGGTTTGGGTTAAATCAGGTTCACAGCCCAGCACTGATTTGTCTCATCCATGGAAAGTTTCATCTGGGGGGATGTAGGAGACCTGAGGTGTCACCGTGGGCCCCTCAGTGGGTCGGAGAAGTAGCACCTGATGAACTCGTGGGTCCCGAGTTTTGGGATTTGCAGGCTCATCTTTCAGGGATTTGCTCTGAAAGGAATAATTTTTTCCCCCCTAAAAAATGAATTTTTGACAAAAATCGAAATATTCTGCAAAATAATACGTGATGAGATTTTGGGTTGTAAGCCCCGGGGAAGAGACTTTGTTCCTCAGAGCAGCTGTGGCTGCCCCTGCATCCCTGGAAGTGTCCAAGGCCAGGTTGGATGGAGCTTGGAGCAACCTGGTCAAGTGGAAGGTGTCCCTGCCCACGGCAGGGGATGGAAATAAAATGATCTTTAAGGTCCCTTTCCACCAAAACCATCCTGTAGTCCCAGTTCTGTTCTAAGAACTAAACATGTTTCTCATCCTGTTTGGTATTTTCAGGATTTTTTTTTTTTTTTTTTTTAATTTCTGTTTTCCAACTGGAAATCTTAAAAGTGGAAATTGAAACGAAGCGTTTTGGAATTCATTTATTTTGCTTCATAAAAGAGATGATTTTTCCATATCAAATTAGGGAGAAAGTGCTGGAATTTGAGATTTTTTTTTTTTTTTTTTCAGTGGGTGTTAAATCTGTGTTGCTCAGACCTGTTGGCTGCAGCCTGACCAGTTGGTTGGAACTTTTCCCAAAGCCTTCCCTCAGCATTTCTGCTGTGTCAGACACTTTCCAGAGGCCTTTCCTAAAGTCAGCTGCTGCAGGGTTGAATTAGAATAAGCTCAAAAAAAGAAAAAACAAAAAAAAACCCACCAAAACCAAAAAGCCAAACAACCCAGCCAAGCTGCAATCAAAGGTCTGGAAATCTGGAATGTGTGTGAGATGGGTGTTTTCACACTGCAGCCCATCCAAGTGTTGCCTCCTGCCTGGCAGAGCCACAACTTCTAGAGTCTAGAAATTTAATAAAGTAACGTTTTCATCCAGCAGAGCTTTCCAAAACTGGGGAAAAAAAAAAAAAGGGGAACAGCAACCCACAAGCAGGTAGAAGTAAAGGCAAATCTGGGCTCTCAAAGGCCTCGAGAGAACAAGATCCTTCGAGGCAGAGGTGGGAACTGGCAGCCCTTGACCATTTCCACGGGTTGATCCGGTAATTCCCACCTTGAGAGGGATGGAAGGACAGTTTTCCCCGTGGTTTCCTTGGGTCCCCTGGTTGGGGATGCTCCTCTGGGGGCTCCTTTCCTGGTTTTGGGGACGTTAACACCGCGTGCTGTGTGTCCTGCAGGCAAACCTCAAGAAGTTCATGGAGTACGTGCAGATGTTGAACGCGGAGAAGGTCTGCAGGCTCCTGGAGAAGGGACTGGACCCCAACTTCCACGATCCGGATACTGGAGGTGAGCCTGGCTGCTGCAGGGAGGGCAGGATGGCAGAGCAGGGGCCGGGGGGCACAGAGTGCCCAGGGGGGGCACGGTGGGAATTTCGGGCAGCGCTTGGTTTTGGGGGGGTTTCACAATCAGTAAGTTTGGCACAGGGAGGTGTGAGTTGCACTTCTCTTATGGGATTTGGGAGCTTGAGGGCACAGAAGGCTCTTGGGAGAAGATGGTTGGCGTGCCAGAGATCCAGAGTCTGGCAATGCAGCACGACATGGGAGAGCTGTGGGTCCACACATCCCTCAGTGGGATTCTGGGGAAGGGGAGGCTCCCTCTGCACTGAAAAGCTGGGCAAGTTATGGATCTCTCCATTAAACAGTCAGATGGTTCAAGAAGTACTTTGGGCATCAAGAAAACAAAATCTTGGCCTCTGTTTCCTCGCTTTTTCTTTCCTTAATTCCTTTATTTTTCCTGTCTCTGAGCAAAGTTCACCCAGCAAGGTCTGGTGGGGTTCTCTGCAGGTTCCAGGCTGTGAGAAGCAAGAGTCAGACTCCAGATGTTTGGGAACCAAGGGCCAGCCAGGGAGGACCTCCCCCCACCTCTTAGTGTTGTTCTGACAGAGAAGTGACTGCTCATGTTGTTGCTGCCTTACAGAAGTGCAGCTCGTTAGTGTTTATTGTTCCGGGTGAGGATCCCGGGCACGTCTCCAGCCCATCCTCCAGTCGGGTGATTAATTTTCTGTCTTTCTGGTTCACTTGGATGGTTTATCAGGTTGTTGGTGAAACAGCTGTGTCTCTGTACTCAGAAATTTGGGGGATCCAGAGTGTTGTCCAGCACAGAGATCAGGTGCTGTGTGTTGTCCCTCACACCATTAACCTCTCCCATCCGTGGCTGCCTCTGTGCCCGTTGGGAATGGTCCCTACCAGCTCCTCAGCTGGGAAGGTGAAAGGTGCAGCCAAACTCTGGCAAGAACCATTTGAGGAGTGTTTATGCTGCTTCTTTGCTGGTGAAGCCTCTCCTGAACCTGCCAGAGTGTTGTCACAAACAACTGCTCGTGAAATCAGCAGGAATGGTGAGCGCGGTCACCGTCGAACCAGGAGTGTGTCCAAACAGCCCAGCTCCAAGGGGGTTTCCTTTCTGTCCTAGACCTTGGAAGCATCTTGAGGGATCTTTCTTACAAAGAAAGCTCTTTGCTCTCCTAAAGCTGGTGCAGCTTTCCCAAGGGGATCACGTTGCAGATGCCAAGCCCTGTGTGCAAAGATGCCGTGAGGGGTTTGGAGCTGGTGAGGTCTGAGCCCAGGTGTTCTGCCACAGAAGGGAGGAACAGGCTCCTGAGAACTGTTAAATGTAGAGGGGGGAGAAGGAGAGACACCTGACCCAAAGGGGTGCTTGGATCCCCTTCAGAACTGAGGGCAAAACCAGAGTGGAAGCTGTGAGAGGAGAAGGTTTTGTGGGGACCTCACAGCCCCTTCCAGTGCCTGAAGGGGCTCCAAGGAAGCGGGAGAGGGACTGTTCAGCAGGAACTGCAGCGACAGGACAAGGGGAAATGGCTTCAAACTGAAAGAGGGAAATTTAGCTTAGATATATGGCAGAAATTCTTCCCTGTGAGGGTGGGCAGGCCCTGGCACAGGTTGGCCAGAGAAGCTGTGGCTGCCCCTGGATCCCTGGAAATGCCCAAGGCCAGGTTGGACAGGGCTTGGAGCAACCTGGGCTAGTGGAAGGTGTCCCTGCCCATGGCAAGGGGTGGAACTGAGTGGGCTTTAAGGTCCCTTCCAACCCAAAGCTTTCCATGATTCCATGAAAACAGACCCTTGGAGCAGGAGGAGTCTCGGACACTCCTGGAGTGCTAAACCTTGTGGAGAAACCCTTCATCCCTGTTTGCTTCACGATCTGTTTCGTGAACGTGCAAGAATGACACAAAGCTGCTGATCACTGTTCCTGGCTCCCAGGAACGCAGGAGCAGATGGAGGTGCTGTAACCCCCGAGCTGACCTCGTGCATCTCTCAGGATGCTCCTCTCCCTCCCCGTGTCGCTGTGTGTTCCCTCAGCAAAGTGTTTTCCAGAAACTCATCCATCCTGATTCGGGGAGCAGCAGATCCCTGCCCTTCCTTCGTTATGTGGTTCATCACCCTGGCTGTTTAAAATTCGTCTCCCATTTCAGTTGGTGCTTCCAGGTGTCGTTCCACTCCATCTTCCCCATCTGAACAGCGCGTTAGTACCCGGCGTGTCCTCACATGAAGGCAATCAAGTCAACATTCAATCTTCCTTTCCTTAATTAAAGAGAGGCCCAGCTCCCCCAGCCTTTCCTTTAAAGGTGTTCTCTCCACTCTCCCTGTCATTTTTGTGACTTACATGTCACTATTCTGTTCTGGAGGGGATTTTGGGAGTGTGGGGAGCAGAGGGGCTGCTGCCTCCCCCTGTCATTCCTCGGGGACAACCCTTCCTGCTGGGCCCTGCTCCAGGAAGGACAGGGGTGACTGTGTGTCACCCCATGGCACCCCATGCTGCTCCTGCTGGATGGAGGGGCTGGAGAGGTTTCCCTTCCTGTTCCTCCTCCTGTGTTGTGTCCTACCCTCACCTTAACCCATTTGTATTTACTTCAGGATAATGGCAGCAGCCACAGAGACTCTTGCAGGGCCTAAAGGGGCTCCAGGAGAGCTGGAGAGAGACTGGGGACAAGGGATGGAGGGACAGGACACAGGGAATGGCTCCAAACTGACAGAGATTAGGGTTAGATGGGATATGGGGAAGGAATTGCTGGCTGTGAGGATGGGCAGGCCCTGGCCCAGGTTGGCCAGAGAAGTTGTGGCTGCCCCTGCATCCCTGGAAGTGTCCAAGGCCAGGTTGGATGGAGCCTGAGGTTGGATTTCTGTGTGCAAACCCACGAGGAAAAGGAAGATCAGGAAGGACACTTGGATCTCTACCTTCTGAAAGGGTCTCAGTGTTGTCACCAAGTGAATTACGTGAGGCACGTGGTTGGTTCTTGGGGTGTCCTGTGCAGGGCCAGGAGCTGGACTTTGATGGTCCTTGTGGGTCCCTCCCAGCTCAGGTTGTTCTATAATTCCATGATTTCCTCAGTTGATTTGTTCCCCACTGCAGGTTTTCATGGAATGCTTTGATTGACGCCTGTCAGTCGTGATCCTTTTTTGTGCCATCTCATTCTGGGAGAAAACAAATGAGCATATGTGGAGGAGAGTTTTATTTTAGTGAATGGTGAAGTGAAAAATGTAATTTTCTGTGTCCTTCCTGCTCTGCCTTTACGTTCCCCAGGCCAAGGGTGAGGGATGGAGGAATATTGTGGCTTGTTTTATGTTCGAGGGGCTTAACCAAGTCTCAGCCTGCAACTCAGGGGTCTCCAAACTGAGCCTGTGCCATCCCCAGGGTTAATGAAAGGAGGAGGCTGTTGGTTTGCCCAAACTGGGAAGGACACCAGGACTTGCCATGCACAGGAAACCTGGGAATGGAGAGACTTGCTGAGGATGAAGCCAGGGAAGGCACTTTGGAGGGCACCATCTCCTTGCCAGTCCTTGTAGAAGCAGAGAATGGGTGTAGAGAGAAAGGACAGCTTTAATTTAATACTTAATTTCCTCTTCCAGAGTGGGAAGGATTTTGTTTGGGGATTTTGTGGGTGATTTCTGACTTGGCCTTTGATGATGTCAAGGCCAAGGCACTTCAAGAGCTGCCTTTTGTGCCTCCAGTTCTGGGCAGAACTGACTGGGTGTGGGTCTGCAGGAGCTGCCTTTCCACGGGCTTTGCTGCAGGGAGAGCTCCCTGCTGGAGCACAGAACCCTTTGATGTGGTTGTTCCATCCAAACCCACCTGTGGATCAGCAGGTGCCCGGGATTTGTCCCCCAGGGATCCCATGTCCACAGTTGTGGCCAAGCTTCCCATGGCAAACCCCACACCCTGCGGTGTGGTGGCCACTGGTGGTGTGACCTGCTCTTGGAGATGAGGAATAATGGCAGGAATGGGGGTTTTTTCCTCCCTGGGAAGGTGAGGAGCTGTGGCAGAGTGGCTGCAGGGCACACCCTGTGTGCCAGGGGCAGCCCCAGTGCCTGGACAGGCACGTGGAGCAGGGACAGGAGCCTGGAAACCACCCCTTCCCCACTGAATGCAGCGCTTGTCCTGTGCTGAACCGGCAGCTCCCCGAGGCAAACTGGGCTTCCCTGCTTGGAGAAATGTTCTCCTGCAGAGTTTCATCCACTTAATGGATTGGGAATAACCTGGATGCACCATAAAATACCCTGTGCTTTTGTGGTGGCACCGTGACAGCAGAGCCCACAGGATGATGTGACATTCCAGCCTCTCCAGCCTCTGGGTATCTTCATTTAAGCTGCTTTTTGGGAGTGGTTTTAAGCTGTGCTGAGGCAAAAGGATATATTCTCCTTCCCATTTTTGTGCTGGAGTGGGAAGGCAGGGAAGAGCCACATCAGAAATTGCTGCAGCCCCACTTGCCATCGTTCACCTTTCAGGGTTGCTGGGCAGATATTCCAGGAAAGATTCACTGCCTTTGAAAGACATTAAAAGGAAAAAAATTCACAGAATTCACAGTGGCTTCCTGTAGGTACATTTAAAGTGGGTAAAAAAAAAATGATACATGAGAAGTTACCGTTGGTCTGAAATTAGACCCAAACCTGGGGGCTGGTTCAGCCTGTGAGAAGACAAAAGCAACCCTGGATATTTAACAAGGGATATTTAACAAGGAATGGCACCTGGGGAACAGCAGGAGAGGGAGAGGAGACCAGGAAACCATTGGATTACAAAGGAGGGTTCTGGACTGGGAGCAGCAATAGGAACTGTGGCCCCAAAAAGATGTGAGGACAAATAACAGCAGGAATGAGGAACTGCGGAGGAAAAGGGCCCTGGAGCTGCTCCCAGGGCTGGATCCCTCTGCTCTGGAGCCAGGCTGGGACAGCTGGGGGGCTCACCTGGAGAAGAGAAGGGTCCAGGGAGACCTGAGAGCCCCTTGCAGGACCTAAAGGGGCTCCAGGAGAGCTGGAGAGGGACTGGGGACAAGGCCTGGAGGGACAGGACACAGGGAATGGCTTCCCAGTGCCAGAGGGCAGGGATAGATGGGCTACTGGGAAGGAATTGCTGGCTGGGAGGGTGGGGAGGCTCTGGCACAGGATGGCCAGAGAAGCTGGAAGTGTTGAAGTCCAGGTTGGACAGGGCTTGGAGCAGCCTGGGCCAGTGGAAGGTGTCCCTGGGAGCAGAGCCCGACCCTGCCCAGCTCCCCCCTCCTGGCAGGGACTTGCAGAGCCAGAAGGTCCCCCCTGAGCCTCCTTTTCTCCAGGATGAGCCCCCCCAGCTCCCTCAGGAGTTCTCCAGCCCCTTCCCAGCTCCCTTCCCTGCCCTGCACACGCTCCAGCCCCTCCATGGCTCTCCTGGCTGGGGGCCCAGAACTGACCCCAGGATTCCAGGGGGACTCCCCAGCTCCCAGCACTGGCTCTGTGCCCACAATATTCCTGGGATATTCCAGCCCACATCTCCTTCCCACACCCATTAACGGGTCCCTTCCCCTGAGCGGTGTCTTCCCTGGCTGCTCCCTGTTTTCTGCTGGGGATCCCCTGCTCTTACTCATTAATTACTTTAAGCCTTTATTTGGCTTCGCACATCTCCAAGAATTAACAGGCTGTAATCACCAAAGTCCTGGATTAGTGGTTACAGTGGGTTTAGGGAACAAGTTCCTGGCTGCAGTTCCTCAGGAACGCCCCGTTTGGACCTTTCTCTGAGTTTTGGGGCCCAGGATAACGGGACAGATTTGTCAGCTGAGTTTGGTGTGTTAATAACAGAGACTCTGGGATGGTTTGAAGCTTCTTCTGTGACTTTTGCCTCTCTGAAAATCTCATTTAAACTTGGAAAAGTGATTTAACCGCAGGTGGAAGTGGAGGCAGGAGCCTGGAGCAGGGACTGGTGGGGATAGACCCGAAGGCTGTGGCAGCCTGAGTTCTGGTCACACTGAAGGGCCAAACCTGTGCTCTTCAAATAATTCAAATTAACCATAAAGAGTAAAGAGGTTTTAGATAAACTGTGGTGGAAAATTGGAGCAACCATATTTGGCTTGCAATGGAGGGATGGTCCTTGCAGGTCATAATTTCACTGCACGGTTTCCCTTTGCCTTCAGCTGGAGGGGGCCCAAGGCTAAGACATGGGAGTGAACACTGGGGGGCTGCAGAGCAGCAGGTTTTGGTGGTGATGGAGAGGAGGGGAAAGTCCCTCCTGTCCCAGGAGCTCACCCAAAGCCACCTGCTCTTCATCTCCCTCGGTGGGGTGTGGGTTGGGACCTCCATCCTCCTCCTGCTCTGGAGGAAGAGCAAACTGTTGCGTCCACCCAGCTCTTCTGAGCCACAGGTGGTGTCCCCGTGGACCCCTTTGAGGGCAGGGTATAAATTTTTATGTTTATAAAAAAGGAAAGGGGTATATTTTTATAAATATAAAATAGCTATTGTATTAGAATAAGCAAATATAACTTGAAAGATAATAAATATTTTATAATATAATATTTTGTAATATATAAAATGACTTGCAATAAATAGATATTGTTTTGTATAAATATATAATATATACATATATAAAGGAACATTATTTATAATTAATAAATATTATGTTTAGTAAATAAATTAGAAACACCAACTGTAATGTTCAGGGATCTCTTCTCTGTGGGGAACAGAGACAGGACCAGGGAAGGGCTGGAGCTGTGCCAGGGCAGGCTCAGGTTGGATCTCAGCACAAGGTCCTTCTCCCAGAGGGTGGTTGGCACTGAACAGGCTCCCCAGGGCAGTGGGCACAGCCCCAAGGCTGCCAGAGCTCCAGGAGGGTTGGGATGATGCTCTGGGGCACAGGGTGGGACTCTTGGGGATGATCCTGTGCAGGGCTGAGGGTTGGACTGGACGGTCCTCGTGGGGTTCTGTGATAGCCTTCCCTCCTGTCCCCTCACAGCAGCTCCCCGTGCCTGGGTGGGCAGGAGCACCTTGCTGGGTGGGAGCTGCTGGTTTGGGTCTGGGGTCACATTCGCTCGGATGGGGCTCGGTGGGCACGTCCCGCCGGACCCCGGTGGTGCCCATGAGGGGGTGGGCGCCCCGTGGCCCTCCCTGCATTGCCCTCTCCGTGCTCCCAGAGTGTCCCCTGACGGCGGCGGCGCAGCTGGAGCTCAGCACCGAGATGATCAAGGCCCTGCGCAACGGGGGAGCCCACCTGGATTTCCGGACGCGGGAGGGGATGACGGCCCTGCACAAGGCCGTGCGCTGCCGCAACCACGCCGCGCTGCTGGTGAGCCGGGGGCTCTGCCTGCCCTCCCCTGCCCGCCTCCCACAGCCACCCTGCGGGCACAGCCTCGCTGCTGCCGCTGCCCTGGGCCTCGTGGGCACGGAGCGTCCCCGGGCGGGCTTCGGGGCGCGTTTTCCTCCCGGGGCCGCCGAGCGAGGTGGGTTCTTCTCTTCCAGATGCTGCTGGACCTGGGAGCGTCCCCGGACTACAAGGACAGCCGGGGGCTGACACCCCTGTACCACAGTGCCATGGTGGGGGGGGACCCGTACTGCTGCGAGCTCCTCCTGCACGACTACGCCCGGCTGGGCTGCGTGGACGAGAACGGCTGGCAGGAGATCCACCAGGTGGGATGGGATCCAGCGGGATGGGATCCGCTGTCCTGGGGCTGATGGACGGGGTCCTCCTCTCCCCTGGGGTGCCCACAGGCTTGGTGGGGGTGGTGAGGGCTGAACGTGCCGTGCCAGCCCTGGTTCCCTCCCAGGTCAGTGTTCTGGCTGTTTTCTCTAACCTCAGTCAGGAGTGGCTGGGATCCTCCCCAGATGATTCCTGGCTCAAAGGATAACGCTTTCACATCCTGGTCCAACCACCTGAGGCATCCTGGTTCCAAACCCAGCTGTGCCTGTCCCTGTTTTACACACTCGACAAGTGGATTTGGCACAGGGATTTGACATGGACTGGGGGGTAAGGGACCTGAGCCAGCCTTGTGCTTCTCCCTCTGGGAGAAGAGGGATGAGCCCATATTGGAGGGCAGGTTGGGCCTGTGGTCTCCCAAAACCCCCAGCTGTCCACCCCCTCCAAGAGGGATGAGTCGAGGCACAGCTACGGATGAGAACGAGAAACAGGAAGGGTTTGTGATGTCAATTTATGGATACGACTGTCCCTGCTGCCTCCGTCCTCCTTGGCTGATCTTTGAGAGCTGCTGGTCCTGGCATGGACCAAAGGGAGAGAAAAACACCCCAGTTAACCAGAGATGTGGGGCCTTGTCCTCTGCTGGCCTGTGTGTGCTCAGGGCTTCTCACCCTGAGCCAGCCAGCAGTCTGTAGGAGGCTCTGGCACCAGCACGGTGCTGATCCTGATTTTCCCATTGATCCAGAGGTAATTTATCCAGTAAGTGTCCAGGTGTGAGGAGCTGTGAGGAGCAGCAGCGTGTCGGTGTTTGCAGTGCAGGTTGCAGCTCCAGCCTGACTGCACTTTTGGAGCGTGGCTGAACCCAGCTGAGGGTGTTTTGGGGTTTCTCACCTTCCTGCCGCTCCCTGACTCTCCTCTCTTCCCCTTTTCCTGGCCCTGCTGCGGAGCAGGCGTGTCGCTACGGCCACGTGCAGCACCTGGAGCACCTCCTGTTCTACGGGGCCGACATGACCGCCCAGAACGCCTCAGGAAACACCGCCCTGCACATCTGTGCCCTCTACAACCAGGTACGATGGGCAGCCGGGCCAGGGGGACCAGCCAGGGGTGGGCACCGTCCTGGCTGAGCCCCTCTCGGTGCTCCTGCTGCTCCCAGAGCCACAGGGTTCTCCTGAGTGCAGTCCACGAGGCTGTTTCTGTTTGTAGCACCAGCCTGATTTTGGATTTACCCTGTTCCGTTCCCAAGATGTTTTGCTGCTTTGCTTCCAAACACGCTCTGTAATTTTTCCTCCAGTTCCTTTTCCTGCTTCCCAGCAGGTCCCTGGAACTGGCTGGGAGGGAGAAGTTTGCTGGGTGGAGCTCACATTCAATTTGAGATGGGCACATCCTGCGGCTTCCAGCCCCCTCCAGAGAAGCCACTTGGCCTGGGGTCCTGCCCTGCTCACAAACAGCCCTCAATTCTTCCTGCTAATCTCAGAATTTTGGAGAAGACTATGCAGGCAGCACAGGGCCCCACTCCTGTTCCATTTGCTGTGTGGTCACTCAGCTCAGGGAAGCTGAGGGGGCTGGAAGAGCCCTCTCTGATCTCACACCCCCGCTGCTCTCTGAGCAGTGCAGGGCAGCATCTGAGCATCTCTCCTGGAGGGTTTGCTCCTTCCTAGACATTTTTATCCATTGTATTAAGTGGTTTTTGACTGTAAAAGGGAATTTCCAGTTTCTGAGGTGCCTTAAGAGCTGAAGCCTGTCATGGTTTGCCAGTGGTAGGTGGGGGATGGTTTGTGGCGTGGGGGGTTCATTCTGCACACGGAGGACTCTTGGACCCACGTCCCTGCCCACGGGGGTGGGAGGGAGAGGGGCACTGAAGGATTCAGGAGCTCATAAACATGTTGAATTAGCACCATGGAGAAGCACAGAGCACTCAAACCAATACAAAGCTTTAGGAAACAGCAGGACCTGGGAATGTGTGGTGGCCACGGTGCCAGTGTCCCCGAGGATGGACTTGTCTAGTGTAAGGTGTCCCTGCCTGTGGCAGGAGGTTGGAACTGGATGATCTATAAGGTCTTTCCAACCCAAACCATCCTGTAATTCCGTGATTTCATGACTGGGGGTTGGAGATTCCCAGTTCACAGGGGGTCATCGCCCTTCCTCGCTCTTGCCAAGGGAGTTTCCCATGCTCAGTGACCTCCGGGGTTGGCTGTGGTGTTGCCACCACTCTGAAGTGCTGATGGTCTCTTCCCTTTCCCCTTCCCAGGAGAGCTGTGCCCGGGTTCTCCTCTTCCGTGGTGCCAGCAAGGAGATTCGGAACTACAACAGCCAGACGGCGTTCCAGGTGAGCGGGGAGTGCTGGGCCCATCCTCCCATGGACCTGCCCCAACGAGGGCAGCTCTCAGACCTCGCTGGGGCTTTCCCTCTGGCTCGGGATGCCTGTCCCGTCCCTGGCTGAAGGGCTGGAGCCAGGAGGGAGGAGGAGAGCACGAGGTACCCGTGGGAAGGGCTGCGAGGGCGGCGCTGTGTGGGGGGACATCAGGATGGGGGAACACCGAGCTTGGATCACCTGGCCGTGTGTCGTGGAGGTGGAAAGGAGAAGTTGCTGGCTGTAGGAATGTGAATGTTAGAGCAGGAGCAGAATCCTTGGAGCAGGGCAGAGTCCCAGGAGGAGGAGCAGATTCCTCAGAAATGAAGGAGAGTGTTGCCACAGAGATGAACGCACCTGAATTTATGAAGTTAAACGTGAGGGTAGAGGAGCTCTAGAGTGAAACTCTGGAATGGCTTTCTAGGAAATGTGCTGTGGTACCACGGGTGGCAAAGGGGAAACTTGGTGGTTTTCCAGAGTGACTCCTTGCCTGAGTTTGCAAATTGTGGGAAGTGAGTTCCTGCAGGATGCTGGAGGTGAGGCAGGAGGTCTCTTCCCATCCCAGCTCTGTCCTGATGTCTTATAAAGCAGGAGAGCCTCTCTGCCTGTGCTGCTGCTGAAGCACAGCCTGTTCCCTGAGCATTCCCTGAGCACTCTGCAGGAATGTTGTGACTCAGTGTCCAGCTGATGCTGCTCCTCAGGTGTCCCTCGAGGGCAGAGAGTGCCTGTGAGTGTCCTACTCCCAGCCCAGGTCTGAGTCTGCAGATGGGCTCGTTAATTATCAGCCCTTTAGAAATGCTCTTTCTTGCTTCTCCTTCACTGGTGGTTGTAGAGGATGATGTCACACAGTCCTTGTGAGTGCCTAGTGGGAGGTGTCCCTGCCCACGCAGGGGGTGGCACTGGATGGGCTTTAAAGTCCCTTTTAATCCAAGCCATGATTCCTGCAGGAAACTCTCCCAGCTTTCAACAAGAAACTCTCCCTCTCTTTGTTGCTTGAGGCTTCAACATGTCATGAAGTCCAGTGCCAACCCCGCTGCTTTCTCATGTCCTGCCTTCTCCTGGCCATGGCAATGGGGTGGTGCCTCCTGGGAGGGTTGGGGCAGGGCAGAGGGAGACAATCATGGAAATCCCTCTGCTGCTGCACAGCCACTTGGCCACTGTCCTGCACACACCTCTGCTAATTTGACTGCAGTTGTTAATGAGATACCTTGGTGTCAGCAGCCTGAGATGACTTTAAGATAGCAGTGAGTAATTTAGAGGGTTTAGGACCTGTAATCTCCTGGGTTGTGTCCCCAAGGCAAACCAGCTCATTGCAGGGGTGATGTGCCACCTCCTGTGTGTCTGGAGAACCTTCTTCTGCTGGTGGTCTCACCTCTTTGGGCTGGTCCAGGTTTCAGGGGAGGCGGGAACAGGGTGGGTTTAGGGACAGGGTTTTCCCAGAGTATCTTCCCAGCCTCTGGCAGCTCTGCATCTCAGTTTTCCTGAGCCAGGTTTGTACCTACATCCATCTTCCATTGCTCTGAGCTGGCTTATCATCCATCAGTCATCTCAGGGAGCCCCCTGTGCGGGTGCAGCCACTCCCAAAGCTCTCCAGCCTCTTCCAAACACGTCCTTCTCACAGAAGGGTGGAGACATCACTTTTCAGGCGGGATATTCCATCCTCAAAATGCACTGGATGGGAGGAATCACGGACTGGTTGGGGTCGGAAGGGACCTCTGGAGATCTTCCAGTCCAACCCTCCTGCTAAAGCAGGTTCAGCTGCACAGGGTTGGGTCCAGGGGGAGCAAAAGAAGTCAGTTTGGGTTTCTTTTCCCTCCTGCCAACTGCTGTAGCTGTATCACTGTTGTGGAATTCCTTGGGTTGGAAGGGACCTCAAAGCTGCCTGTCCTCTGAGGTAGCTGCTGGCTTTCCTACCCTGTATCAGAGAGCCTGCACCATCTGTGCCACTCCTGTCTCTCAGCAGGGCCTGCCTTGTGGTGAGGGGCTGGAGATCCGCTGCCAACCCAGGAGTTCTGATCTCCACATCCCGAGTTCCCTGTAAACAGCAGGAGGATCCCAAACTGCTGCTGTTCAGTGGCTGTTCCAAATGGTTCGTCCTCTTTCCTTTCCACCAGCTGCTCCAGGTGGCTGGTGCAAGCTGGGGGTAAGACCCTTCCTTCCTCAGCTTTGGTTTCTCATCCCTTGGCTCCTCTCTGCCAGTGCATCAGGTCCTGCTTTCCTTTTCTTCCTTGGTTTTCTGATGTCTTAAGGCCTCAGTAAGTGTTTTCTTCCTCAGGAACACGTGGGATGGGATTAACCCAGGTGTCACGTGCTGACAACCCCACATTTGGAACCTCTGGGTCATTTTTTCCCCACACCTTTTATTTAATAAAAGTAGCTTTTACAGTTATCTCCAGCTCTGTGTAAAAAGTGGGACAGTGCCAGTTCCTCATGGTCAGGTCATCACCTGCCTTGCACTGTGTTTTCCAGCCTGTTTGAGGTACCAGCGGTTTCCTGCCAAGCATCATCCAAGTTTTTATTTTGTTCACGGTGCTGAATTCCCAGTTCTCTTTCCCAAACCTCCCATTTCTAACAGGGAGTCTGAACTTTGTGTTTTCACTGCCAAGGCAGAACCCTTAAGGCTGGGAAAGACCTTTAATGTAACCGAGTGCAGCCGCATTCACCACCAAACCACGTCCTCCACTGCCACATCCACACCTTGGCTGGACCCTCCCAGGGCTGGGGACTCCAACACTTCCCTGGGAAGGTGGATCCTACCCATCTGGAAAGTTTTTGGAGGTTCCTCACCCTGCCTGTGTGTGTTCCTGGAGGGTCCGTGGGTCACCCACAGCGGCCACAGGACAGATTTTAGAACCGTGGAATGGTCTGGGTTGGGAGGGACCTTAAAGATCACCCAGTTATGGGGTGGAACCTTCTCCCCTGAGGGTTTCCACAAGTCCTGTTGCTTGTCCAAAGTCAAAGGTGGCTTTTTCTTCATCTCCTCAGCAGTGTTTCTGGTGCCTTGTGTCATTTACTCACCCAAGGTGGGTAAAACACGTGGCAAATAGAAATACATAAAAATATATTAACAAAATATATTGAAGTATGTAAATGATAAATTTAGAAATGTATACAGACATATGAATATAAATATTAATACAGATATAGATATAAATATGAACATCTTGAGCTTCTTATTTTTGAGGGGGTTTATTTTATTTATTTCCAGCCAATAAAGGTGGCTGCGAGGACTTATCAAAATGTAATCCCAGTGCTGGAAGTCTTAAATATCAACAGATAATAATTCAGTGGGATACATTTGTTAAAAAAGAAAAAAAAACCACACAAACCTAAACCTTCATAATTTCTTCTCCTATTGATCTAAGGGTTTGTTTATTTATGTGAGCAGGTGACTCAGGTATTGAGCTGAAACCTGAGGTCGTGATTTCTTCCCTGCCTGATTTGTGTGCCAGAGGAGCTGTGGGATCACTGGTGTTGGCTCATCCCAAACATGCCTGATGGAGGTTTGAGAAGAGCAGACAAGGTTCTTAATGAGCAGTAAATGTCAATTTTGTGCAAGTTCCTTTGTCCTCGTGACAATCCTGCTTGAAGTTTTCCACTTCTACACATGCAGGATGATCATATGCAGAATTTAAAAACAGGGGCTTCACATTTCTTTAAGTTTCATGGAAATTTAACAGTCAGAGCTGCTGCTTTTCTGTCAGAAAGTTGTGTGTCCTTTTAATTGCTGCATTTTTGTGGGCCTTCTCCCCCCAGGCTAAATCCTTCCAAACAGGTTTTTGTGGTGGATGGTTTTTTTGTGGATAATTTAGGGTTGTTAATGGTGATATAAGGAAACAAGGTTTCTTAGTTCAGGCTTTGGTGCTGTAGAGCTGCTCTGGTCGTGGTGCCCTTGGTCACTTGTGCTGGTAAAAGTGACCTTGGTCCCCCTGGAATCCTGGGGTCAGTTCTGGGATCCCTTGGACAGGAGAGCCATGGAGGGGCTGGAGCGTGTGCAGGGAAGGGAAGGGAGCTGGGAAGGGTGTGGAGAACTCCTGAGGGAGCTGGGGGGGCTCATCCTGGAGAAAAGGAGGCTCAGGGGGGACCTTCTGGCTCTGCAAGTCCCTGCCAGGACGGGGGAGCCGGGGGGGGTCGGGCTCTGCTCCCAGGGAACAGGGACAGGACAAGGGGAAACGGCCTCAAGCTGTGCCAGGGGAGGCTCAGGTTGGCCCTGAGGAGGAATTTGTTGCTGGAAAGGGTGGTGAGGTCCTTGGCAGGGGCTGCCCAGGGAGGTTTGGAGTGCCCAGCCCTGGAGGTGTCCCAGGCAGGCCTGGCCGTGGCACTCAGTGCTCTGGGCTGGGGGACAGGGTGGGGATGGGGCACAGGGTGGATCCATGGGCTGGGAGGGCTTTTCCAGCCTCAGGTGTTCTGTGGCTTCCTGCTGCTTCCCAGCTTTCTGTGGCACTGGTGGAGCCACCCAGACTGGGATGCTCGGGGTCATCTCTGCCCTGCTCTGAAGGCCACCCCCATTTCTGCAGGGGCTGCTCAGGGCTGTTCCCAGCTTAGTTTGGGAACCCCCCATGCCTGGAACGCTCCCTCCTTGTCCTCATTCCCATCCTCACCCACTCCCCTGATGGAAAACCTTTCCATTTTGCCCAGACACCCAACCCCTCAGAGAAGAGCCTGGCTCCATATCCCCCAATCCCTGTGCACAAACTGTCATTACCTTTGTCTCTATTGATTAAATCCTCCCCACCCCCCCCTTCCCACCTCCCTGTTCTTGAGTTTCCAACGATCCTTTCAGTTCTAATCCTTTAATGACTTTGCATCACCTCCCAGCTCGGGCTCATCGAGGAATTTAATAAGCATATTCTGCACTCCATCATCCCGCCTGTTAATGACAAAATTGAATCCCGAACTGGGGTAGGGGCCTGTGAAATCCATTTGGCAGACGTTTTTAGGCTGACAGTTAGTCATGAATTAGGTTTCTGATCAGT